ACCGCTCTGAGAGAACTTGTGACTGGCCCAGAGTCACACCAGAGGCTGCATGTGGAGGCGTGGGGAATCAAACCCAGTTCTCCCAGAGTCCGTGCTCTTAACCACTACACCAAACTGTATGTAGATAGCTGAAATATATTTATATTTTACTGGAACAAACAATTAAAATTAGAATCTTCCTCTGAAAATCATACCTGTATTACTATTTTTTTTCATTTTTATTTTGTAATTCAATAGTATTTTTAGAAACTTACTGATAGCGGTTTCTGTCCTTCAAGGAATTTCTCCTAAAATTTCCATCATCATATTCAATAAAGCTGTCTTCTCCATCTTCAGATTCCAAGCTGCGGTTACAACTCCGAATGGTTTGGAAGATGTAGTTAGCTGTTGACTCTTTTTCTGCAGAATGTAAGCCATCTTGACCTACCCGTTGTAAATAGTTATCTTGGCCGCTGTATTCTGCTACAAACTTAAAAAAAAAAAAAAGATGTAGCACTGAGTATTGGGAAATGAGGTTCCCATTGGGGAGAAAAGCAGAATATAAATGAAATAAACAAACCACAATTACATAATAAATACATTTTAGATGAGCACTCCAGACCTAAAAGGTAAAGGTTCCCTTGCTCGAAAGCCAGTCGAATCCGACTCTAGGGTTGCAGTGCTCATCTCCGTTTCAGCGCTGTCCAAAGACATTTCCGTGGTCATGTGGCCAGCATGACTAAACACCAAGGTGCACGGAACGCTGTTACCCACTGAAGTGGTACCTATTTATCTACTTGCAATTTCTTGCTTTCGAACTGCTAGGTTGGCAAGAACTGGAACTAGAGACCGGAGCTCACTCCGTCATACGGCACACTCGGGTCTCGAACTGCTGAACTACCAACCTTCCACAGCCTGCAGTTCAGCATCTTAACCACTTGAGCCTACACAACTGGTAATCAGAATGTGCTAATGAAGCTAAAATAGCACCTTGTACAAGGAAGTCTGGAAAGCTGTTTGCCAAGTAAAGGCCCTCGACAGCCAGTCAATTACTACCATGGAAAATTACAGTCTTTCTCCACAGTGGGGACCAAAGCAGCTTTCATTATTCCCACCTCCTTTTTATCTGCACAACAACCCTGTAAGGTTGGGTTGGCTGAAATACGTGACTGGTCCAAAATCACGCAGTCAGCTTCCACTGCAAGATGGGGATCTGAACCTGGGTCTTGCTAGGGTTCTCAAAGCCCCCCAGGGGGCGGATTTCCCCCCACTTTCAAGGCCCGACTTCCGCCCCGCGCAGAATCGGGCCCAGGGGAAACCCCACCCCCGCGCGTCACCCAGAAGTGACGTCGCACGCTGGGGGCGAGGCCACGCCATTTGAGCGTGCGACGTCACTTCCGGGTGGTGCGTGCACGAGTTAGACGCCAGCCGGGAACCCCCTGCTCCCGGCCAAAATGCATTTGGCAACCTTAGGTCTTGCAGACCCTACTTTGAAGCTCTAACTGCTGCACCTCACTGGCTTTCATAGGGTGGCTGCTGATGAACGGTAGCAAGCAGCTGAGGCTAGGTGAGTCATGCAAATCAGGGGGGACCTGGCAACCCTAGATTACTGCCAGGCCTAGAGTTGCCAACCTCCAAATGGGACCTGGAGACCCCAAGAATTACAACTGGACTCTAGACAGCAGAGGTCTGTCTCCCTGCAGAAAATGGCTGCTTTGGGGGATAGACTCTGTGGCAATATACCCAGCTGAGGTCGCCCCCTTCCCAAACCCATCCCTCCTTAGAGTCCACCGCAAAATCTCTAGAAATCTCCCAGCCTGGCACTGGCAACTCTTGTGAGGCCTGGCCCCAAAGCTCCCTCCCTCCCTCCCTCCCTGAAAGGCCAAAATAGACCTGGAAAGGGCCCTTCCCCCACCCTTTTACTGACAGAGCCAGTTAGAACCCCCCCCCCAACATTCTAATCTCTCACAGTTGATGCCTGAAGCAGATCCCTGCAGAGGCCATTTCAAAAGGTTTTGGGGGGAATTCAGACGTCCCCGAAGGGATTTTTTTAGCTTTTGGATTTTTCTACAAACCCAGAAAGTCTACTGACTATGTAGGAAAAGCTGTTGGGGGAGAGTGAGCCCCCTGTTGGTGGAAATAAGTATCCGTACACACAAAAAAACTCTGGCTAATAGAATAAGGATTGCAGAGAGGAAATTGCATATATACATGTTAATTATGACTGAAATGAACTTGTGCTTATGGAGACAAAAATCACTTTTGCTTTAGCTGTTTCACTTCAGCTTAACTAACTAACTATACAAGCAGTTGCCCCTGTCCTTGACAAAACTAATCTGAAGAAACACCAGTTATTTACTAGGGACTACAAAATCAGGATATTTCACTGAAAGAACATAGTCATTCACTACCCTTTTACTAATACCATAAATAAAGATCTATGAACCCAAGTGAGCTTTGACCTTGGGGGGGGGGAGCTACTTTAGAAATAGAGGGGAGTTTGGAAAACAGTTTATAATGTAGCATGGGAGCAGCTGTTCAAAGCAAAAACAAAATTCATTGAGCTAATATAAGCCCTTGTGGCGCTTACACAGTTATCTGGATCCCAGCCTAGTCTTCAGCACTGGGCCATTAACACAATATGGTTATGTAACTAGAGAAGATGGCTGGAAAGTTGTGGCCCTGCATTCTATAAACTATTTACTATACATTTATTTACTTGCATCTCTGTTCTATATTTACCCAATTATTAACAAAGGCACGAATTACCACAGCGTTTTAAAATATCAGTGCTCACTTTCATTAGCTCACCTCCAGTGTTTCATCCTGAGAGTTGTACTGAGGACAGAGCCTGATGAGGCTTGCAGCACCATCCAAAATTTCACAGAGTTCTTTTAAAAATACACCACAGAAAGGAACAACTTTACAGCCTGGGATATTCAGAGCCCTGTTGATGACTTTTCTATATTCCGATGATGATTCATGCTGTGCCATAGCATCTTTCAAGCTTCGCATTGTTTCAATATCAGACTGGTCCATAAATTGCCACATTTTTAAAACTTTTCTTGATCTGTTTTGAAAAAAGTAAACAAACTTTATACTGAAGTTTAATAGTCCAAATAAGTCACTATATATGTTAGCGCTTTGGTTGACATTGTATGTTGTATAGTTAATTATGAAAATGTGAGGTTTTTATTGTTTTATTGTTTTAGAACTACCAAAGAGACATGCTGCTTTTAAAATAGAGTTGTGGTTTTGCCTTGTTGGCTGTAGGAACTGAAGTGACATTGGGAATTCCTAGTGAACAAGGCTGTGCAAATGGATTCCTTACACCTGAGTTAGACTACTGTAATATGTCCTAAGGGGGTTTGCCTTTGAAAACAGTCCAGAAACCTCAGTCAGCTCAAAGTGCAGCAGCTAGGTTGCAAGGGTATAAATTATTAGAACTACATTTTGCAAGTTCTGAATGTTCTGGCTAGCAATTTGTTTCACAGGACAATTTAAGGCACTAGTTCTCACATTGAGTGCCCTAAACTGTCTGGGATTCGGGTATCTCAAATACCATCTAATCCTACAGCAACCGACCTGGTTATTAAGCCCATCAGACGCCATGCTTTGTGTGTGTCACCCACCTTTTGAAGTGAGATGGGGGCTACCAGAAAGAAAGGTCTTTACCACCTTGGTGTCTTAACCATAGAACTCTCTCCGTGCATCTGTTCTGATGAGTTTTAAGCACATGGTGAAAATATTTTTGATTTTCAGAAGCTTTTAATGCCACCCAATGTGTGTTGGTTGTCTTTTGAGTTCTAATCTGCATGGCTACTAGGGTTGCCAACCTCCAGGTGGTGGCTGGAGATCTCCTGCTATTATAATGGATTTCAGAGAGAGATCCGTTCACCTGGAGAAAATGACCACTTTGGAAGGTGGACTGTACCCCACTGAGGTTCCTCCCATCCCCAAACTCTACCCTCTTAAGGCTCCAACCCCCCAAATCTCCAGGTGCTTCCCAACCCAGAGCTGGCAACCTTAATGGCCACCAATGGTTGCTTTAGTGTTCTTACTTGCTCTTTTATGCTGCACCTCTTGGAATAATGTATTTATTATTTTCATTTTAGTCATGAGGTGCCTTTGGGTAGAAGAGCAGACTGAAAACATTTTAAGCAAACAAACTGCCTACACATACAGAGTTCTTTCTAGCTGCAGCCTAAAGCTTTTTCCTCATTCCAATATAATTTTTCAGATATGCAAACTGAAATATACAGACACTAAAGCTGCTTAACTTTCCCAGGAACTACATAGCCCACAATATCTGTATGTATAGCATGCTGACTGATTACCTAGTGTGTCCAAACTTTTGCTTGATTTTTTTTTAAAACCAAACCAACAGCAAAAGGATGTTATTATTAAACCACAAAGCACAATATTTTTAATGGCTGGCATGCAAATACAAATCAGAATCAGATCAGAGAGCTGAATTTTGGCCAACACTTTCTGTTGCAGATTCTCTTCATATGATTCACTGATGGTAATATGCCCAATATTACAAACCTGGAAGAAGAAGAAAATTCCCTCCAATTATAGAGGACAGAATCAAGTAATCTCTCGGTGACTGCATGAGAGAGGAAAACTGCAACCACGTAAAGCAACCAGTATACTTTTAGGTCTTGCCCGCTTTTACCTTCTCTCTCTCTCTCACTCACTCACTCACTCACACACACAAATGCACATACTTTTTCTAATGTTCTCCCCAGTTATTACAAGGATTCAGGGTACCTGAGTTGTGAGAAACATCCACATACTGAACAATAAACAAATTAATGCTATTCAAAATCATTAATAAGTCTGTTAATGGAGAAACATTTTAAAACATTTTAGGCAGTTAATCAGTTAATTGTATTGGTTTATCTAAAGTTGCACAGCCTTTAAATTAAGGCGTTTTAGTGTATTCTATTTGATAACTGGTGTATTGTTTGCTTTCTAAGTACTGCTATGTTAGTGTTTTCAGTTTAATTTTTTTATCATATAGAAAGATAAATGACATTGTCTCTGCAACATTTGAGGAAAAACCTTTCAGCAAAACATAAAATTTCTTGTGCACATCTTATTTTATTTTCCCAGAGCAGCCATCATAAGTTCACTAGACATGATGTGACATAACTACACTGTTTAGTATGGTGACTGACAGAGTACAGTTCACTGTTTATTTTTAAGAGGACAGCTGTATGTAACAGAAGCTGAAACTGAATCTATGTCCAAGTATCCCTTATTCAAAGAATGAACTGCAAGTACCTGAGCCCTGCCAAGAACTCCATGACAGCATTGTAGTTGCCCATATTCCAGCAGCATTTTGCCACATGTACCACATATGAGAAGACTTCTCGTTTTTCTTCCATAGAACCTGCAGTCAGAATCAGCCACGTCACCCAAGAGCTCACCTTATAAAACATATAATATTTTTTAAAATCAGCTACATTTGCAGCACTTTATTTGTACTAACATTTTTACAACTAATTGAATTAACCAAAATTAGATCAATATACTCTTGCATTTTTTTATTCTAAGCTGGAGGGGAAATGAATACATACATGGCACAATAATATACCATTAATCATACACAATGCAAAGTAGATTGCCTTTTGGCAAGGTTTAAATCAGCTTTACTATTCTTTCACAGCCAAGTCCAATCAGTGAATTTAGTATATGCAAATAAGTTGTGGCTGCTCTCCATCCTCCTGGTGAGAGGCAATATTATTAGCATAGCATACACGGTATAATTTGCTCATGCATATATACAAGTAGCAAATATGCATGAGTACATCAAGCACATCCATGTAACTAGTAATATGTAAAATACTAAATCTAAAAAATATTGCAGATACAGCTGCAAAGCACCACACAGAACTTCTAACTTAATGCATTATTTTATTATTTTTATTTTATTTACTTTATTTACAGCCTGCATTTCTCACTGAGATTCAAGGCAAATTACACAGTGTAAGCAGAATGAAACGTCTACTAATCATTATCATAGGACTAGGACTACAGCAATATGAAACAAGTAAAAGTATTAGACATTTTACGTTAAACAATGCAGATAATGGTATTACATAACTATACACATTGATATCTGTTGTAGTCCTGTCATTATGTGGATACTAGCAACAAGCAGATTATGAACTTATGTAGTTAAGACTTTAAAGGACTAATTCACATTACGGACAAGATGTGCAACAAAACATGAACCTGAGAAAGGTTTTATGAATAACAGGACAAACAACTGATACTGCCGGCTGCAAGAAAAATGCCATAAATCTTATGAGGATCATGCCGGGACAAACTTTGGATCTGATGCAAACACCAAGCTACACTCTTAAGTATACATGCTCGGAAGTAAGTTTCACTGAAATCAGTGTAATTGCCCTAACCCGAAATAACCCTAAAACCTTTTGCTATGATGGAATACCCTGACCTGGACAGGCCAGGATAGCCTGATCTCGTCAGATTTAAGAAGCTAAGCAGGGCTGGCTCTATTTAGTATTTAGATGGGAGACAACCAAGGAATACCAGGGTTACAATGCAGAAGCAGGCAATGGCAAACCACCCCTGAATATTTCTTGCCTTGAAAACCCTATGGGGTTGCCATAAGTTGGTTGTGATTTGACAGCAAGAAAACAAAAAAAATCGAATAAGGTCAGCTTTCTTTCTGAATGAAAATGCAATTAGTAAAAATGTATGAAAGTGGTTTTTTCCCCTCCTTCTGTCATTTTAACAAAAAGTAAATTTTGTTCAGTGCCAGGAGTATTAAAATAAACAGCATTCAAGGTACTGCATGTTAATATTAAAGCTCACAAAACTGTATACATTTTCGCTAACATGCAAAACACATTAGATTGAATGTGTTCTAAAATCCCATGTTCCCCATATTACTGTACTTTCAAGTCCTGTTTCATATTTAGGGTCAGTGAGAACTCACATCTTAATATATGGTTTTGTTTGTGTTCTAAACCTGATCACATATAGACGTCTACTAACAGCCAGAAAATGCTCAGTTTATTTTCCCACAACATTTATTAAAGGAAAAAGAAAGGAAAAGCAATATTTCACATGGACATCTAATTCAAACCAACTGTTCCATTTTACAGTGCAATTCCCAAGGGCTTGGTTTTTCCCATTGTATAAACACTCATCAACATGAGATAATAAATGTGATCTTTGCTTTCCTACGTTCAGTTTCCTCTTTCTTAGGTCCTGAAGGATCTGCATGTTTACGGACATTTCTGTAGTGTCGAGAGTTCTATACAACAGATAAAAATACATTTCCCTTTTTTAAAAAGTATTTTGTGCCCCGCTTATACCTAGTTTTTAGATACAAAACTACGTTTGTAAAGTAAACTGTGAAACGTGTTGAACTAATTGAAAATGAAAAGTCAGATATATTACATACACCATTATGTTATTTTAAGACAATTTGGGTAACAACCTCCTATATTTCTAACTTGTTGACTATTAGAACAGAAAACCCAGTAAAACAAGGTACAAGAAACAGGTAATTAAGCATCTGTTTTCACTCGGAGTTTCAATTTAATTTATCAACTCTAAGGCTGCAAGATGCAAGATGGCAAGAACACACAGAAGAACTATACAAGAAAGACCTCGACATCCTTGACAACCATGACGGTATAATCACTGACCTCGAGCCAGACATCCTGGAATGTGAAGTTAAATGGGCCTTAGAAAGCATTACTAACAACAAAGCTAGTGGAGGTGATGGTATTCCAGCTGAGCTATTCAAAGTCTTAAAAGATGATGCTGTTAAAGTGCTGCACTCAATTTGCCAGCAAATTTGGAAAACGCAACAGTGGCCACAGGATTGGAAAAGATCAGTATACATTCCAATCCCAAAGAAGGGCAACGCCAAGGAATGTTCAAACTATCGCACAATTGCACTCATATCACACGCTAGCAAGGTCATGCTCAAGATCCTACAAGCTAGGCTTCAACAGTACATGGATAGAGAACTGCCAGAAGTACAAGCTGGGTTTCGAAGAGGTAGAGGAACGAGAGATCATATTGCCAACATTCGCTGGATTATGGAGAAAGCAAGAGAGTACCAGAAAAACATCTACTTCTGCTTCATTGACTATGCTAAAGCCTTTGACTGTGTGGATCACAACAAACTATGGCAGGTCCTTAAAGAGATGGGAGTACCAGACCACCTCACATGTCTCTTGAGAAACCTGTATAAGGGCCAAGAAGCAACAGTTAGAACCGGATATGGAACAACTGATTGGTTCAGCATAGGAAAAGGAGTACGACAAGGATGTATATTGTCACCTTGCTTATTTAATATATATGCAGAGTACATCATGCGAAATGCTGGCCTGGATGAATCACAAGCGGGAATTAAGATTGCTGGGGAAAAGATCAACAACCTCAGATATGCAGATGATACCACTCTAATGGCTGAAAGTGAAAAGGATCTAAAGAGCCTCTTGCTCAGAGTAAAAGAGGAGAGCGCAAAAGTGGGCTTGAAGCTCAACATCAAAAAACCTAAGATCATGGCATCCGGCCCCATCACTCCTTGGCAAATAGAAGGGGAAGTCGTGGAAGTAGTCACAGACTTCACGTTCCTGGGATCCCAGATCACCGCAGACTGTGACAGCAGCCATGAAATTAAAAGACGCCTGCTACTTGGGAGGAAAGCGATGGCAAACCTAAACAGCATGATAAAAAGTAGAGGCATCACCCTGCCAACAAAAGTCCGCATGGTCAAAGCAATGGTATTCCCAGTAGTCATGTATGGCTGCGAGAGTTGGACTATAAGGAAGGTCGAGCGCCGAAGAATAGATTCTTTTGAACTATGGTGCTGGAGAAGACTCTTGAGAGTCCCTTGGACTGCAAGAAGATCAAATCAGTCAATCCTCAAAGAAATCAACCCTGACTGTTCCCTGGAAGGCCAGATAATGAAACTGAAGCTCAAATACTTTGGCCACCAAATGAGAAGGGAGCACTCACTGGAGAAGACCCTGATGCTGGGAAGGATTGAAGATCAAAGAAGATGGGGACGGCAAAGGATGAGATGGTTAGACAGTGTCATAGATGCAACGAACATAAAATTGAGCCAACTTCAGAGGACGGCGAAAGATAGGAAGGCCTGGCATGATCTGGTCCATGGGGTCGCGAAGAGTCGGACTCAACTGTGCGACTGAACAACAACAACAAAGGCTGCAACCCTTTGCACACTTAATGCAGGTCCCACAGACACAGGAGTGACTGTGCAAGTTAAGCTCCATTACAATGCCTAATAATAAAATGGCTGCTCCCTGTGTGGATGAGGAAAGCAGCAAAACCAAGACACCAACAGACAAGGGAGTGTTCTCTATATACTCAGGGGAGTCCCCAGATATAGACAAAAATAAAACTTTGTAAATTACTCAGAAGGAGAAAAAAGCAACAAACTGAAAACACTGCCCTGCACCACACCTAACTGCATGCAATGGCTTACATAACTGAATGCTCCTGCACAAAATGAAACACATATCAGTGAGAAAGGAACTAGCCTTTCTCCCCAACACTGCAGACCTGCTGTAAATGGGATATTGGCAACCAATTAGAAGACACCTGTGTGGTGTTCCACAGTCTTGGTAGCACATCAAAACTGGGTTGCTTCTCCTGTACATACAGCGTTAACACACCAGAGATCACTAGCCTAGGCAAGCTCTATGCTGATGTGTGCCACTTGCACCTACTGATGCTACTTTTGTCTAACTTTCATTGGATATAAATGGTAGACACCTGAGGTCATCTATAGAGTTCCTTCTACCTCTCCACATATTACACCCCAGCTTCAATGAGCTATAAAAGGCAATGTCTCAACTCTAACTCCGCATATTTTTTTCTCCATATTAAGGAAACAACCCTAACAGCATTTTCCTGGGGAAAAGTCCCATTGTACAACATGGGACTTACTTATCTGTATACTTGCTTAGAATTGCTCCCTAAACTAGCTTTATACTAGGTAATTCTAGAAAATACCAATTCCTCCTTTCTTTTCCATTCCTGGAGGAGATTATGTTAAATGACCTGTTTTGCACTGCTTTCAGGCCCATTTAATCCTTCCCATATCCACCCTTTCTTCAAAACAAATCTTTGTAGAATGGCAGGTTCTGGTACTTGAGTGTAGTGTATTTTGTTACATTTTTTCAGCAGTTTTGCAGCACTGAGTCAGCAGGATACATTGAGGATGCAGGCGTAACCTCTTATATGCTCCTTATTGCAGGACACACGGATTAAATTGAAAGACCTGTGCAGCTTTTTTATAACTTTGCCTAAACAGAACATAGGATTGTCATGCCAGGATGTGCCTGGCCACTGCTGGGAGCTTTGGGGGCAAGGGCATGAGGGGCACCAGTGTTGTAGGTGCCATGACTTTTCT